GTGGTGAGGCAAATAATTTCCATGCACGTAAAATGTTTCTATTGCACAAGGAAATGTGGTTCTATATATAGGAAGTGCAATAATTTGCAGTAGGAAATGTAAAGCCTTATCTCAGTTTAATGCAGTTTTTCAAGTAAAATGAGAAAATAAGAAATCGACCCTCATTAATTATGCAGATAGGGACTATGGAAAACATGTAAAAATAAAGCAGCATTTTACAAGGTTTTGTATTTGCAGCATGCATGCAGCATTAGTAATTTTTTTAAAAGAAAGTGAATATCCAAACCTGGAAATTAGAATCCTCTTTGTCACAAGCAGTATTTTTGTCATTTTCTACCTCCGAAGATGATTGCTTCAATTGCAACTCTGAAGCTTTTAAAGACGAGGTTATACCTCCATGCTTAGCAGCAGTCTTTGCATCAGGAACAGTTGCACAGGTGCCATCTTTTTCAGTAATCTGAGATGTGGATTGCTTTTCACTTGTGATTGTTTCAAAGTTCATCTCTGTTTGGATCTCAAAATTGGATTCTGGTGAAGAATCTGTTTCATTGGTAAATTTGTGGTGGCAGGAAGATTTCTGGCTCCTGCATTTTATATCTTTAGATGAAACATCTTCCTTCCAACTTAGGTTTCCCTTCACAAACTCACTTCTACCACAATTGACACTGTCATTATGCATCAGATATTGGTCTTCGGCCAGAGTTACAGAATAAGTTCTTCTTCTGCGAGTTTTGCCACTCACAGAAGGAGAAAGGGACATCAATCTAGAAGAAATTTTATTTCGCTCATCCTTCCAACCATCAGTACTGCTAATGCCCAAAGGAGCATCCCAAATTGCAGTTCCATTGGTGCTTGTATTCCGATCACTTGTCCTATCAACCTTAGCATTCAAACATTTTGGCCTTGTTTCTCTATCAGGTTCGACAAGCATTTCACCCAGTGTGCTAGCTTTACCCACCATTTCTAAATCCTGACATCTATGAGTTGTCTTCCACCTATCAGACAGTCTCTTTTTTGCCTCCTTATTTACGGATGACTCAATTGAACCAAAAGATGAATATTTACACTGGTTATTACAACGGCGTGAGTTTTTAGATGACAATTTAAAAACCTCTGATTCACTTGCAGAATCACTTTCATAAGCATCGTAAGAACTCTCGTCTCCTGCATATCCTCTGACTCCAGAAGATGTTGGATCAATGAATCCATCACAACCATCCCTCATTCGCCTTGTAATTTCCCTAGCAATTTCTCTAGCATCTCCTGACAAGGGCTTCAAGGATCCTATGTCATCAGATGAATCTCTCCTTTTCCCATATAGTATTTCAGTGGCTCCAACACTTCTATATTCTGCGAGCTTCCTAAAGTTGGAGGGGTAATTATGTGAGTAGTCAGGCGATGAATCAGATGCACGAGCACTGTGTATCTTTCCAAGGTTTGGCTTGAGAACAACAATCTTCGTGGGAAGAGTTTTTCTGCTATTCATCTCTTGTAATTGAATCTTTGGTGACTTGCAAGAAACATGAGCTATATGGCAATTGCGTGGGTGGAATAAAAGGCCATCTTCAAGTTTCTGGATCATGGCATGTTTGCATGAAATCTCTCTCTCTGATTTCCATGCCTTGGCATTGTTTTCATACTTTGCAGAATTTGATGGCTTCAGAACTTTTATGTGACCATGAAGAGAACTGGAAGGATCAACTTCTAGATCATGAATATGCTTTACAAATAAGGAATCTGGATGCTGAAGAAATTTCTGAAATGAGTCATTTGAGTCTACCAACTCAAGTGTTTCAGAAAATTTTTTTGAACCTAGAAGCTTTTCATTGGTGGAAAGATGTTTTGCATTCGTAAACTTCGGCTGAATGAGTGCAGACTCAGGTTTTGTAAGCTTTGAGTTTGCACTCCATCTTGATGAATAACGGCGACTCGCGATGTGAGATGCTTCCACATCTTCATACACATCCTTGAATTCTTGACAATCCATTGAGGTTCTCCTACTTGATTTCCCATCAACTAGTTGGCCACTATGTTGAATGCTCGAGATATTTTTTTGTTGATAGTTATCTGAAGAACTCCTTTGTTGTCTATGAATATGCCGTGGATATGGAAGCCCATCAAGACCCATCAATCTGGCAACAACACTCGGTGATCGTCTTTTAACTTCAATTTCTTTTGACATTTCTTCTTCCAGTAACTTCTTCATTGGTGTTCCAGTGGCTCGTCTCGAAGATCTTTGCCCCAGCTCAAGCATGAACTGCATCAGTCGATTTTTAAGTTATCAAATATAGAGAGTCCCCAGGGAAAAGAAAATTATAAAATATCTTTGCATGTAATACCAACGTCAAAGATAACTACATATTCAGAGGGCTAACAACAAATCATACAAATCAAAATACATATACACACACCATATCATTCCCAGTGGTTCCACCAACATGAGTTCGAGAATCAGAAGACAGTCTCGGAGCAGCTTTGTGTTTCTCAGTATGTCGAATTCCTGGAGAAGTCCAAACAATAAGTTGATTATAAGACTTATAAAGGTCGTTGCAAACTACCTATCACTAATCATTCGAGTCTGTCAAGGGAAGGAGTTCTCAAGATGCAGCTCTAAAACAAATGAAATAAGATACATTCAATCAAAATTGTAAACTATTTGAATCAACTATAACAAACTCAATCATTTCATTAAAATCAGGAAAACAGAAAAACAAAAAACAAAAAACAAAAAGAAAAAAAACAAAATTCTCTTATCTCAGTCTAAAAATACAAACTGTATGTTAACAGAATAATTTTTAAAATTTGGAAAATTCTAAGATAAGCATAAATAGAATTCAGAAGAAAATCTAAATAAAACTAATACAGGTTCTCCTGAAGGACTAGGGCCGACAATGATAATTTATCATAATAAGAAAGTTTACAAGTAAAAGGGAAACAAATAATGCTGAGACCATTAGCCAAAAAAAAAAAAAACACACACACACTGTTTGATTACACTTGCTAGAACCTTCTGCAAAAGCCAGCTCAATGTCATTTATAAACTTTATGTTTAACAACAGCAAGAAATTGAAATTAAACAGCTAAGCACAGATTCTTTATCATTGCTTAATTAATGACTAAACAGATTAATCAATGACAAAAATGTTCTCACAAGAAGTATAATTAAAAAATAACAAGAAGAAGTAAAATTGAAAAATAAAAATAATAATTCATTAAACTTTGAAATTGTCATGAAAGTAGCAAACATTACGAATTAATAAAAAATCCTCAGCCTCTCTCCTTTTTCTTAGCTTAAAGGTTCCGATTAATATAAGAAAAATTCAGGAGCTAGAGTAGTGAAAACACTACAAATTTTCTGGAATATGAGACATCATCGTTGATAAAACGTCATAATGAAGGGGAAGAAAAAATTGAAGATTTCAATTTTCCTTTTTCATTTTCAGAGATAGAAAGCTTTTCATTTCAAATTTCTCCTAAAAAGGAAAACAAGCCAAAGAAGAACAAATTCAATATTTTCCCTTTTTTCTTTGATCATCTAATCATCTTCAAAAACTGAAACGCATTAGAAAAACTCATCAAACCAAACTCATAAATAAAAAATAAAATAAAATAAAAAAGTTTTGGTCTCTTACACAAAACAAAATTTCTCTTCACGAAGACCAAAGTGCTTAACCATTGAAAACAATCATCTAAAAATAGTATAGACTACAGAAAAAAATTTACCTTCGATACTTGTAGAACTTTTGGACTTCCTATGCCAATTTCTCTAGCATCTCCTGACAAGGGCTTCAAGGATCCTATGTCATCAGATGAATCTCTCCTTTTCCCATATAGTATTTCAGTAGCTCCAACACTTCTATATTCTGCGAGCTTCCTAAAGTTGGAGGGGTAATTATGTGAGTAATCAGGCGATGAATCAGATGCACGAGCACTGTGTATCTTTCCAAGGTTTGGCTTGAGAACAACAATCTTCGTGGGAAGAGTATTTCTGCTATTCATCTCTTGTAATTGAATCTTTGGTGACTTGCAAGAAACATGAGCTATATGGCAATTGCGTGGGTGGAATAAAAGGCCATCTTCAAGTTTCTGGATCATGGCATGTTTGCATGAAATCTCTCTCTCTGATTTCCATGCCTTGGCATTGTTTTCATACTTTGCAGAATTTGATGGCTTCAGAACTTTTATGTGACCATGAAGAGAACTGGAAGGATCAACTTCTAGATCATGAATATGCTTTACAAATAAGGAATCTGGATGCTGAAGAAATTTCTGAAATGAGTCATTTGAGTCTACCAACTCAAGTGTTTCAGAAAATTTTTTTGAACCTAGAAGCTTTTCATTGGTGGAAAGATGTTTTGCATTCGTAAACTTCGGCTGAATGAGTGCAGACTCAGGTTTTGTAAGCTTTGAGTTTGCACTCCATCTTGATGAATAACGGCGACTCGCGATGTGAGATGCTTCCACATCTTCATACACATCCTTGAATTCTTGACAATCCATTGAGGTTCTCCTACTTGATTTCCCATCAACTAGTTGGCCACTATGTTGAATGCTCGAGATATTTTTTTGTTGATAGTTATCTGAAGAACTCCTTTGTTGTCTATGAATATGCCGTGGATATGGAAGCCCATCAAGACCCATCAATCTGGCAACAACACTCGGTGATCGTCTTTTAACTTCAATTTCTTTTGACATTTCTTCTTCCAGTAACTTCTTCATTGGTGTTCCAGTGGCTCGTCTCGAAGATCTTTGCCCCAGCTCAAGCATGAACTGCATCAGTCGATTTTTAAGTTATCAAATATAGAGAGTCCCCAGGGAAAAGAAAATTATAAAATATCTTTGCATGTAATACCAACGTCAAAGATAACTACATATTCAGAGGGCTAACAACAAATCATACAAATCAAAATACATATACACACACCATATCATTCCCAGTGGTTCCACCAACATGAGTTCGAGAATCAGAAGACAGTCTCGGAGCAGCTTTGTGTTTCTCAGTATGTCGAATTCCTGGAGAAGTCCAAACAATAAGTTGATTATAAGACTTATAAAGGTCGTTGCAAACTACCTATCACTAATCATTCGAGTCTGTCAAGGGAAGGAGTTCTCAAGATGCAGCTCTAAAACAAATGAAATAAGATACATTCAATCAAAATTGTAAACTATTTGAATCAACTATAACAAACTCAATCATTTCATTAAAATCAGGAAAACAGAAAAACAAAAAACAAAAAACAAAAAGAAAAAAAACAAAATTCTCTTATCTCAGTCTAAAAATACAAACTGTATGTTAACAGAATAATTTTTAAAATTTGGAAAATTCTAAGATAAGCATAAATAGAATTCAGAAGAAAATCTAAATAAAACTAATACAGGTTCTCCTGAAGGACTAGTGCCGACAATGATAATTTATCATAATAAGAAAGTTTACAAGTAAAAGGGAAACAAATAATGCTGAGACCATTAGCCAAAAAAAAAAAAACACACACACACTGTTTGATTACACTTGCTAGAACCTTCTGCAAAAGCCAGCTCAATGTCATTTATAAACTTTATGTTTAACAACAGCAAGAAATTGAAATTAAACAGCTAAGCACAGATTCTTTATCATTGCTTAATTAATGACTAAACAGATTAATCAATGACAAAAATGTTCTCACAAGAAGTATAATTAAAAAATAACAAGAAGAAGTAAAATTGAAAAATAAAAATAATAATTCATTAAACTTTGAAATTGTCATGAAAGTAGCAAACATTACGAATTAATAAAAAATCCTCAGCCTCTCCCCTTTTTCTTAGCTTAAAGGTTCCGATTAATATAAGAAAAATTCAGGAGCTAGAGTAGTGAAAACACTACAAATTTTCTGGAATATGAGACATCATCGTTGATAAAACGTCATAATGAAGGGGAAGAAAAAATTGAAGATTTCAATTTTCCTTTTTCATTTTCAGAGATAGAAAGCTTTTCATTTCAAATTTCTCCTAAAAAGGAAAACAAGCCAAAGAAGAACAAATTCAATATTTTCCCTTTTTTCTTTGATCATCTAATCATCTTCAAAAACTGAAACGCATTAGAAAAACTCATCAAACCAAACTCATAAATAAAAAATAAAATAAAATAAAAAAGTTTTGGTCTCTTACACAAAACAAAATTTCTCTTCACGAAGACCAAAGTGCTTAACCATTGAAAACAATCATCTAAAAATAGTATAGACTACAGAAAAAAATTTACCTTCGATACTTGTAGAACTTTTGGACTTCCTATGCCGAGCTCTCTCCATTTTCTTTTCCAAAAATTCAAATGCCAAAATAGACAAAAGCAAACTAAAAAGAAAAAGGAAACTAATTTTCCTCTCTTTCAAAAAAGGAGAAAAAAGAAACGGCGGTTTCCGATAAACGACAGAAAAATATAAAATTAGATCGGAATTCCCGGCAAAAAGCACGACAACATCTCGAAATCCATCGCCTTTACACCGTAGCTTCTCTTCAGCTCGTTTTGAACATGTAGGCTAAAATTTCAAAAAATAAAAAGGAAAGACAAAATCAACATCAAGCAGATCTTCGTATATACATACACGTGGGCAAGCACATTCTAGAGTGCGTGTGTGCGCGCTTGCGCCTAAACTCGTGTGTGTGTGTGTGTGTGTGTGTGTGTGTGTGAAGGAGGGAGATTATACACACACATAGTTTTAGAAAGTGTGTTATACACAGACATATAACTTGTGTTACAAAGAGAGAGATTGAGAGAACATCTATACATACATGTAGTTTTAGAGTGAGAAAGGCAGACGGGCATTAATGGAAGTATGAGAGAGAGAGAGAGAGAGAGTGTGTGTGTTTTTGAATTGGACGTACAAGTTTTGAGCCCCATTCATTTTTGCAAAAAAATGTATGTTTTTTATGTATTTACGTGAAATGTGTGATAAAAAAATAAAGAAAATTTTTAAATTTGTATTTAATATTATTTTATTAAAAAATGTATTGTTTAAATGATATTAAAATATTGTTTAACAGTGCATTTTTTTAAAAAATTAGGCTCAAACAAGGGCTAAATTATTATTTTTTAATTTATTTTTAACTATACAATCATAGACCAAGTGTGTTTTTAAGCCAAATTACTTTTAAATAATGTATTTTGAAATAGTTTATTAATAAAGAATGTGTGGTTAAAAAATAGAAAAAAATTAGATTATGTATAATATTATTTTATTAAAGAATAGTGATTTAAATGATGTCAAATCACTGTTTAATGTATTTTTTTTAAAATAATGTTGCTCAAACAGGGCCTAAGTTTGTTTTTTTTGAAAGAATATATTTTTGAATAGTGTATTGATTGAAAGTGTGTGGTTAAAAAATTTTAAAAAAAAGTTTTGAAATACGTGTAATATTATTTTATTAAAAATGTGTTACTAAAATGATATCAAATCAATGTTTAAAAATATATTTTTTTTCAAATAATGCCTAAAATATTTTACACGTAAATAAAAATATATATATACTTCTTAATAATTTTATGTTTAACAACAGCAAGAAATTGAAATTAAACAGCTAAGCACAGATTCTTTATCATTGCTTAATTAATGACTAAACAGATTAATCAATGACAAAAATGTTCTCACAAGAAGTATAATTAAAAAATAACAAGAAGAAGTAAAATTGAAAAATAAAAATAATAATTCATTAAACTTTGAAATTGTCATGAAAGTAGCAAACATTACGAATTAATAAAAAATCCTCAGCCTCTCCCCTTTTTCTTAGCTTAAAGGTTCCGATTAATATAAGAAAAATTCAGGAGCTAGAGTAGTGAAAACACTACAAATTTTCTGGAATATGAGACATCATCGTTGATAAAACGTCATAATGAAGGGGAAGAAAAAATTGAAGATTTCAATTTTCCTTTTTCATTTTCAGAGATAGAAAGCTTTTCATTTCAAATTTCTCCTAAAAAGGAAAACAAGCCAAAGAAGAACAAATTCAATATTTTCCCTTTTTTCTTTGATCATCTAATCATCTTCAAAAACTGAAACGCATTAGAAAAACTCATCAAACCAAACTCATAAATAAAAAATAAAATAAAATAAAAAAGTTTTGGTCTCTTACACAAAACAAAATTTCTCTTCACGAAGACCAAAGTGCTTAACCATTGAAAACAATCATCTAAAAATAGTATAGACTACAGAAAAAAATTTACCTTCGATACTTGTAGAACTTTTGGACTTCCTATGCCGAGCTCTCTCCATTTTCTTTTCCAAAAATTCAAATGCCAAAATAGACAAAAGCAAACTAAAAAGAAAAAGGAAACTAATTTTCTTCTCTTTCAAAAAAGGAGAAAAAAGAAACGGCGGTTTCCGATAAACGACAGAAAAATATAAAATTAGATCGGAATTCTCGGCAAAAAACACGACAACCTCTCGAAATCCATCGCCTTTACACCGTAGCTTCTCTTCAGCTCGTTTTGAACATGTAGGCTAAAATTTCAAAAAATAAAAAGGAAAGACAAAATCAACATCAAGCAGATCTTCGTATATACATACACATGGGCAAGCACATTCTAGAGTGCGTGTGTGCGCGCTTGCGCCTAAACTCGTGTGTGTGTGTGTGTGTGTGTGTGTGTGTGAGGGAGGGAGATTATACACACACATAATTTTAGAAAGTGTGTTATACACAGACATATAACTTGTGTTACAAAGAGAGAGATTGAGAGAGCATCTATACATACATGTAGTTTTAGAGTGAGAAAGGCAGACGGGCATTAATGGAAGTATGTGAGAGAGAGAGAGTGTGTTTTTGAATTGGACGTACAAGTTTTGAGCCCCAATCATTTTTGCAAAAAAATGTATGTTTTTTATGTATTTACGTAAAATGTGTGATTAAAAAATAAAGAAAATTTTTAAATTTGTATTTAATATTATTTTATTAAAAAATGTATTGTTTAAATGATATTAAAATATTGTTTAACAGTGCATTTTTCTAAAAGATTAGGCTCAAACAAGGGCTAAATTATTATTTTTTAATTTATTTTTAACTATACAATCATAGACCAAGTGTGTTTTTAAGCCAAATTACTTTTAAATAATGTATTTTGAAATAGTTTATTAATAAAGAATGTGTGGTTAAAAAATAGAAAAAAAATTAGATTGTGTATAATATTATTTTATTAAAGAATAGTGATTTAAATGATGTCAAATTACTGTTTAATGTATTTTTTTTAAAAATAATGCTGCTCAAGCAGGGTCTAAGTTTGTTTAAACCATATTATTTTGAAAGAATATATTTTTGAATAGTGTATTGATTGAAAGTGTGTAGTTAAAAAATAAAAAAAAAGTTTTGAAATACGTGTAATATTATTTTATTGAAAAATGTATTACTGAAATGATATCAAATCACTGTTTAAAAATATATTTTTTTTTCAAATAATGTTACTCAAACGGGGCCTAAAATATTTTACACGTAAATAAATAAATAAATAAATAAATATATATATATATATATATACTTTTTAATCATATATTATTCAAAATTACTATTTCAGATTTTATTTTTCTCTAAAACTATGAATGTCAAATAGAGGCTTGAGAATGTAGATATAGACAGGGCGACAGGAAAAGGAATACAAACTATGTGCAAGGTAGGATTGAATATGGTCGTTTCGCTTCTCTTTAATTATGGAACCATAATCAATTTTTTTAACATTTACAATAATGATACATTAGTAAAATTAATGACATGCTCAATAAGGAGTACATACTAAAGAAAAGTGAAAATATTCAATAAAAAAAGGATGAAAATAAAGAATACGACAAAAATAGTAGTTATTGAGAGAGAAAAACCTGCAAAGGATTCCGTTATTTACATCCACAATTTTTATATATACATCCCCATTAAAATTTTATAATTTTGAAAAATTACTATTTTCATCCATGTCAATTTTCAATATTGTCCTTATTAAATTCATTTATTTAAATATTATAGATTCATACAAATTTTATATATTCATCCCACTATAAATACATTCATAATACAATTTCAAAAATCACTATCAATTGCTATTAACATTTAATCTGATTTCTACTTTTTATTTTTTATATTGTCATGTTAGTGCTTTAATATTTAGTTATAAAGATTAGCAAATCTTTTTTTTATTTTTTTTATTTAGAGAATTCTTTCAAAAGTATACTACTCACGCAACCAAATAAATCCCTCCTCGAATAATATATTAATTAAATTTTTTTGCTTGTAAACTCATAATTTTGACTGTTTGTGTTTCGGTTGATAATTTTAAGTGTATTTCTTTTTATAATGTAAGAATATTTGGACAAATATTGAAACTTATTTTTAAATTTCTTGTATATTTTCATCTGTCAAATCAAATACTTAAAGAGGCATAAAAATATATTTTTTCATTTTTTATATCATGAAAAAATTATAACTCTAATAATGTATTGATTTATTTATATTTTAATTTCCATTGAAGATGATATTTTTATGATTAGGATATTATGATTTTAGTTAAGGATGATGTTTTGTGATTATTAGAATTTTAGTCAAACACAAACTCTAAAAAAATATAAAAAGTTTTAAAGGAATTTATGAAAATAAATATTAGTGGATGAATTTAGAATAATATATTTTTATTTAATTTTATATATGCCTATTTAGGTAAATTTACATAAGATCAAAATTATAATATAATTATCTTTTTAAAAGTGGATGTATATATAAAAACTTTAAATGTAAATAGCGGTACCTCTGCAAATGTGTGAACTCTCATAAACATCTTGAAACTAATTATAAATTATAATGCTTATAAGCTGAGCGTGAGAAATTATGAAAAAGGAATGAGATCAGAGTTGGGAAATTCAATAAATATGGTAAAGAAAATCGTACAAAGAAGAGAGGCGCGGATGCTTAGCTTCGATTATTTGAGAAACTGCAAAATTTAGGTCACTCAATTTTGATTCTTTGAAATTTGAATATAAAGTTGGGCTTGGGCTAAAAATAGGAAAATGATCTTTTGGACTTAATCAATTAGTTGACAAATGAAAAAGAAAGATAATATTTTTTTTGGCTCAGTTAATTAGTTGGCAAATTTATTTAAAAAGATCGAAATAATTTAACTTATTTGATAGAAATAATTTAAAAAATGAGAGAGATTCGATTTTTATTCAATTTTTTGGTCTAGAATTAATAATCGAATCAAATATGTCGATTTTCAATTCTGATTACCGTTCAAGTATTTAATTTAAGGAGAATTGCTCGTTTTAGTTCGGTTTCAGTCCGCGCTCAATTTGAGAGTTTTTTCCCAATTATATAGTTCTATTTCTTTATTGAGAATGATTTATTTTATTTGTTTACTAATATAACTTTTTTTTCAATTAGTCTAATTATAACCAATTTTCTCCATTTAATCTTAAAATTGAACAAATATAAACAAGGGCAAATTAGAAAAGTTTTTAGCAAAAATTGCTTTTCCAATGGCATTGAATTCCCGTTTGGCCCCCATTAATTTTCATTCCATTACATTCTATTATTCTCTCACTTGTTTTCAACCACACAATCTTAATAAAATAATATTATACGTAAATCGAACAATTTTCCTTCTTTTTTAACTCATTAAAAAAAAACAATATTCCACCCATTTCATTTCCAAAGAAATGAGGGCCAAACAAGGGCTTAATATGATTCCTAATTAGTGTGAAAAAACAAAATGAACATATATAGGGTCTATTCGAGCCATATTATTCTTAAAAAATGCATTCTTAAACAGTGATATGACATTATTTCAACCACACATTCTTCAATAAAATAATATTACACGCAAATCAAAAAAAAAATTCTTATTTTTTAACCACGCATTTC